ACTAACTTGCCCAGCCAGTATGGATGAGTGGTTGAGCATCAACCCATGAACCAGGAGGTCACAGTTCAATTCCCAGTCAGGGCACATGCCTAGTCTTTGTGCTCCTTCCCCCGCAGAGGACTTGCAGAAGGCAGCCAATCTATGTATGATTCTCACTCACCATTGATGCTTCTCTCTCTATCTCCCTCTCCCTTCCTCTCTCTTTAATCAATAAAAATATTTTTTCAAAAAACCTACTGATTAGGAGAAACTACTTACTTTTAATTCTCTTAAAAAAAACCACAAGCCATTCCTTTCCTTTGAAATAGCATTCCTTATAAATTTCAAAATGTTACCAGAAACGGAGCCAGGTCCTGAACTGATTTGCTTAAGGTCGGCCTGCAGTGTGTGGGTTCTTGATTTGGTTCAAGAAATATTTTAAAACATGAGTTCAGGTGATTTGAAAGTATGTTTTTTAAATATTGGAACAGTGAAAAAAGGAAAGGCTTAGGATAGAGACAGTAGGAGGGAGACTAGGCCGGATTGTTTTGGCTCTCTAGACACATGGGAATGAAGTGAGTCTAGGTGGGGCTGCTGTCAGCACACAGGTGAAAGAGTTTGGGGGACACGTCAATGGGATTAGTCCCGGACAAGCTGCTGCTGCCCATTGCTCCCCTGGTTGCAAGATTCATGGGGACCTCATAGAGATTAAAAGAAAGAAAATTCACTCAAAAAGGAGATTTGTTTGGTGGGGGTGCCACAAGGAGGGCACACACTGGCTTCTTTGTCTTGAGAGATTTTTTTACTTTCCAAAGGTGGAGATTTAGCGGAGATCTCAGGGGAAGATCTCAATAGAATTTTCATCAGCTTTCCCATATGTCCCTTTTAAGGGTCATGTTCTCTAATAATGGGTCAGTGCCAGGGAAGGCAGTCTAAACCTCATTATCAGCAATATTACAGGGAAGGGAAGGCCTCCCTCGGGCAGTTTTGCCCATTAGGAGGCACCCGAGGTTCTATACCCTGATGGCCTTCCATATCAGGCTGTAAATTGCTTTCCAGTTTGTTCAGCTATCTGTCTCAGTTGCCTAATTCCACTTGCCAAGGAATTTTCCTAGCTTCTTACTATCCTGTCTCAAAAAGAGAAAACATAAAAGTATTAATAATATAAAAGTTATCATATACACCTTTAGTCATTATTAAAAATCGGGCTATATATACAATGTTTGAGAAAAGTCCAAAGAACAAGTGTAATTATTATTATCACTAGTATTCACAGACAGGTAAAGATAATAAATTTGTAGTTGTACAGGCATTGTCGGTGTCTTGGGATAGCTGTTGATTTCTCATGTCAGTGACCTCTCATTCTCAAAAGTCTTTGTTCACTGTAGGTGGAGGCAAGTTTCAGAGACAGGGCAGATGTCCATTTGTGGTTGGGCACCTGATAAAGTCCCTTCAAACAATGTTGGGGAGTCTTTCATTGATGTGTTTTCCAATTGACAAATAAGTCATTGTCTTTGAAGTCTTCATGTGCTGAGAGCACTCCTGTAAATAAATGTCACTAATTTATCTGTCCCTATAAGCTGGTTAATAAGTTCTTCATAATAATGCAGAAATTCTCCTTTTTCATAAGGTTGATTCATATTTCCCTTCAAGTAGGTACATGGGGTACTGGTGTTTACTTAATGAAGAGAAAATCTATGTGTTTACCAAAAAAGGAGATTCCAGGTTGAGAAGAACCATAAGGAGGGCTTTAGGCCAAGGGAGATTAAAAGCTTCTGAAAATTTACCTAGTTGAGTTTTAATTATGTCATTTGTATATTACACCAATCCAGAAAACTGGACTTATAGGTACAATAAAAAGACTAGTAGAATAGGCCAAATATGAGAAATGCATTGTATTTTTTGAACAGTGAAATGTGTCCCTCAGTCACTATAACTCATCGGGAATTCCCCAATAGGCGTTAATTTTCCCAAATCATAATTTACCATTTAACTGTTAATGTCCTTCAAGTAAATGCCTCAACCTAGTGTGAACAACATACAAATCATAACTAACACATATTCGTATTCCTGAGATGGTGTCACTTGGGTAAAATCCAATTACCATCTTTAAAAGGGATCTACAGGAAGTAGGAAATGACCTTGGGGTTCATGGAATGATTTTCCAGGGTTAGATTTAGACAGTAAAACATCTGCTACACACTTTGCAATCTATAAAGGATAAGGAGTGACATGAAATCCAGTGGTTAAAGATTGGAGAGGTAGAAGAAAAAACAGCAAGACATAGAGAGAATCTCTGGGATTAGATAAAAAGTAAAACCAATCATCGCATACTTCTTTTATATTGGTTGGAATAAGATAGTTAGCAGTAAATAATTAGCATGATAACAATAACATGGAGGGGTCTTGTGCTCTCTGCTCTGGAGTTGTGAGGGGTTGGAAAAAAAAATCACCCTGACATTCCAAAGGTATGTTATTGTAGAAGCAAAAAGTCAATGGATGGGCTCAGTTAAGGTAAAGACTGACCTTTGCCAGGAAAGATACCAGGCTAGCACATGACTACCCACCATGACTCACTTTAAGTTTGAAGGTTTTATTATCAGACCATCCTGTGGGTTACTTCAGGTTTCTGAATTTGTAAGTCCCCCACACAGTCCTTTCCTGAGCTTATGAGGTTGAGTATGTGGCCCCTTTTTCATTCACACAGCCCAACTCCTTAACCTCTTGGTAGGAGAGAGGAGCTAGAGATAATTACCAATGCCAAATTATTTAATCAATTATGCCAACGTAAGGATACTTCCAATAAAAACTTCAAACATGCAGTTCAGAAAACTTTTTGCTGATGCTGGAAGGCTGAGCGTCCAGGGAAAACATGGAAATTTCACACCTCTCCCCATGCCTTGCTCTGCCAGTATCTCCCATTTAGGTATTCCCGAACTGTATACTTACAATAAACCAGTGAAAGTAAGTAAAGTCCTTTCCTGAGAACTGTGTGAAGTTTTTCACACAATTATAAAGCATGAGGGATCATGGGAACCTCCAAATCTAAAGTTAACCAGGCCAAAATGTGAGTTACCTGGGCACCCCATTTGTGATGACGTCTGAAGTTATGTTACTGAGCCTTGAACCTATGGGGTCTGCACCAACTTCAGATAGTTAGTATCAGAACTGAAATTAATTGTAGGTCACCCCATTGGAGAAGTGGTTGTTGTTGGGAAAAAACAGAACAAAACCTTCAGCTCGTATAATTCAACCCGGCAGGGTGATGCTAGAAGTGATTATTAATAGGTGCTCAGGGAGCTTGAGAAGACTTGACTTTCACTCCCCTTTCTCACTAAGCCCTCTCTCACCTTCAGAGTCTACTTTCACCCCCTTTCCTCCTCTTTGTTCTCACAGAACAAGGCTTGAGGCAGTGGTTCTGATCCCAGGAGCAGTGGAGGTACAAGCCTGTAAGTCTATTCATATGGTTGTCCACCCTGAGGTGGGATCTGTTCTCCTAATGCCTAGACAGCCAGTAAACTGACACCAGGTTGCAGTGAAAGGAAAGAACGTATATAATACAAAGGTACCAATGAAGGGGAATGGGGCAGCTGATGCTCAAAGACCAGAACTCACAGTGGTTTATATTTAGGGTCATTTAAGGGGCAAAAGTCATGACGTGGGGTTCAGAGTCATGGTTTTTGAGTATTGGGCAGTTGCAAGTACTCATAATGTGACTTATTTCTCCCTGGCATCATCCTGGCTGGGTTTTTTGGTTATTGGGGCCTAGAGGTCTTCCTTAGTGCAGACAACCCAAAGTACTGCGACCCATTTTGGGGTAGGGTCGGTTATGTTACCTTAAGAGCAGAAAACATCTAACCATCTTGTGCTTAGCAGACAACATCTTTCTCTTAACTCGAGCACAATAACTCCTGCAACCTGTTTCACTGACTAGTTTCCAGGCCCCAGGCTGCATCTGCATTCTTTCCTATCAAACCTGCCAGGTTCTATTTTCTATGTATTCTTTTACTAGAAATCATAACATCCAGCTCTGGGAATAAAAGTTAATCTTCCTCTCATCTTAAATCCTTCTATCTGGGCTAAAAATCAAATAAACAGACTGATTAAACAGGAGACAATATACAAAGTCTGATATATGAACAAATATTCTGGAGCTATAGGAATAGAGACCAAAGGAAGTATTGGGTGGTGGCGGCTTATGTCATTCTGTAGCTAAGGGGGAAAGAGGGTTGTGGTTTGAGGCTTCAAAAGGCACGAACATTGGCATAGAGGCCAAAGCAAATGGGAATGTTCCTCCTGGAGCTGTTATGGGTTGGCTCAACGAGATAGACCACCGACTCAGAATTTAAATTTGAAAGCCGTTTATTAAGCTGGCCAGCTGACCACAGCCCGTACCTTCCCCCTCTGGGAAGCCTCGCGGCATGTGGCAGAGACCAAGGGTGCAGTATGATTCTTTATAGCAAAACAGTGTTCAAAGAATACAAAGCATTTCATTAGAAGTTCACAAAAAGTTCATGAGAACGGAGGGGAGGTAAACAGAGTCACACCTGGCTGGAGCGTATCATATTGTTTTTCTAAGACAATCTAGCAATTTTTCTTCCATGCTCTCTGACCCTGACATAATCCTTCTATAATCATTCTCCATACGTCAGTCCCTCCTCCCAGCACATACACAATCCTCATATCCTGGTCCTCATACATCCCCCTCCCTCCGAGTACATTCAATTTCTCATGTCTTATTTCCTCCCCTTAGCACATTTTGTAACCTTCTGTAACCCTTCCATGCCGCACACCCTAGCACATTCCCTACTGGTCTTATGCCTGAATCAAATCTTTGATTCAGCACCCTCCTCTGAGATTCTAGTGTATTGGGTGTGTAAAACCATTAATTTTACAGCCTGTATTCGATTTTGTATGAAGTTAAGGAGGCTTCTGGCAACACAGGGGCCAAATATCAGCCCTAGGAGGAGTATAATGACTGGTCCTGCTAGTGCGGAAAGCAGGGTAGTCAGCCAGGGGGATCAAGAAAATAAATTTTCATACCAATTGCCTTCTGCCCTCCTCGCCTCTTCTTGGTCGGCCAGCCGTTTACGCAGCTGACTAAGGCTTTCCCTGATTACACCTGAGTGGTTGGTGTAAAAACAGCAAGTTTCCCCTAAGGCCAGACAGAGGCCTCCCTGCTTTAGGAAAAGCAGATCTAGGCCTCTTCTGTTTTGCAACACCACCTCTGCAAGTGAGCTGAGGGAGTCCTCCAGTTGGCTAACAGAGTTCTCAAGAGTGCTTAAATTTTTATCTATCTGCTTGCTTAACTCTTTATAATTTTGGTGGCCAGTTGCTAGGGCGGCTGTTCCGACGGCCGTGGACTCTGCTATTCCTATTCCCATAAGGAGGGGGACTAGGACGGGGGCCCTTTTAATTCTCATAGGTTTGAGGTTTAAATGTTCTTGGCCCCCTTCTCCCGAATAATAGTACACCTGCGGGAGGATATGAGTTAGAATGCATAGTTCAGGGTTTGTCGGATGCTGGAGGGCTGGAGAGAAAATGCAAGGGGTTATACCAGTTGTACATACCCACCAAGTCCCCTCCGGAGCTACTAAGCAGGTGGGGGTCTCTCCTGCATAATTCTTTGGAAGTACAATAGATGAATTACATAGATCATCATACATGGAATTGCTGAGGGGGTAGTTTCTAGGGTACACACAAGTCCCTGGGTTCAGGATGTCCCCAAGAGTGAGTCCTGGTTGTTTGTGTCCCCACATACACAGTCCGTCCGGCAGACTTTCTACCGAAAGGTTCCTGATGGCAAAAGCGTCCCTCCCAAGTTTGGCCTCCGCCCCTATCCCAATATAATAAGGGGGTTCAGGGTTAAGGCGCAACCAGCAATCAGCAGTTAGGTTTGGGGAGGTGCGATTCAGGAAAGAAAACATTAAGTCCAGAGTTCCCAGCAGTTGCTGGTTTGGTCTTCCTGTGCCTGCTCCTAAAAGCTGTTCTGTAGGTGGAGCAGGGCCGGGGTTCCCAGGCTTTTGTGACTCAAGGAAACCAGGAGGCTTTGCTGGGGCTGGGTGCTGTGGCAAGCTCGGCCTCTTTTGTTTGTCTAGGGGAAGTAAGGGGCCAATCGGATTGAGCCACCGGGGAAGGGCCCGGCGCTGAATGGTGAAGAGCTGGCCAGGGTCTCGGCCGCTGACATAAAGTCTTAGCCCCCACGTCTTTCCCCCTTCCCATTGGTCAGTCCACCAGGCAAGAGGCATGAGGATGACGGGGTTGCAATCTCCGACAATGCAGTTCTTCCTTGGGGCCCCAGGTCGAATTTCTCTGGTCATACGGAGGAGCTTGTCGGTGGGAGGTTTCTTCCACAGGGCTAGGGTCTCACAGCCCCAAGAGGCACAATAGAAATTGTCCTCTCCTCCACAGTCACTACCCCCTTCCCGGGGACAGACATAATGTTCAGTGTGCCATAATCCTTGCTCTAGGGACAAGGTTCCGCACCCATAACTCTTGCCTCCGGTGGCCCAGGGTTGGTCCCCCCAGCCATACCTGGTTGACATGGATTGGCTATGGGAATTTCCCCAGTTCTTTCCAAACAGTTTGTAGAGATCGGTCTGGATGACAGGCGCCCCTACTCCTACAACAGAACCTATAACAGTCCCATCAATAGTCCATGTGACCTCCCAAGAGTAATTCTTGGCTGAATGGGGATTTCCCATCCCTGGCTGCACGCAGATGAGAAGAGTCAGGATGAACACCGAGTGAGTCTGACCTTCAACGGGTCTCCGGTCTTCTGGATCTGCCATCTCTCGACGCTGTCGTTTGCCTTCTTCACCTGTGTAAGATGGATCCAGTGTCTTTTTCCTGCAACTTTGATGGCGGTTGGAGTGCTCAGCACCACCTGGTAGGGTCCATCCCATCTAGGTTCTAGGCTGCCAGGGTCGTGATGCTTCACCCAGACGAGGTCACCCGAAGAGAAGGCAGGCTGCGTCGGACTGGTTCTCAGTGCGTCCTCCTCCCGTAAGGCTCTCACCACCCGTTGTGCTGACGTGGCGCTGCTCTGCAAAGCCTGTAAGGACTTAAGCAAATTTCGGGTAGACAGCCGGGCAATTTCTTCCTCCCTTAGGCGGGGAAGAAGAGGTGGCGGTCTATCAAACATAATTTCAAATGGGGTGAGTCCTTTTATATACGGGGTGCAGCTAGCTCTGAGGAGGGCAAAAGGAAGGAGACTTACCCAGTTTTCGCCAGTCTCTAATTTTAACTTAGTTAATGTTTCCTTTAAGGTCCAATTCATTCTCTCTATCTGTCCAGAACTCTGTGGTCTATAAACACAATGTAATTTCCAAGTTATTCTCAGGGCTTTAACTATAGATTGTGTAACTTTGGCGACCCCATATATAGTGGCAGGCCAAACCGGGGGACAATTTCAGAGAGGAGTTTCCTAACTATTACCTGTGCTGTTTCTGCCTTGGTTGGGTAGGCCTCAGGCCATCCAGAGAAGGTATCAACAAAAACCAGCAGGTACTTATATCCTCCTCGTCCTCCTGGTATCTCAGTGAAGTCCACTTCCCAGTGTTCTCCAGGGTTCTGACCTCAGAATTGCTGTCCCGGCGCGGCCACAAGAGGGGGTCCTTGGTTCACCTGGGCACACACTTGGCACGTTCTGGCCAAGTCTTGAGATATTTTCTGGAGCCTTGGGATGTAGAATTCTCTTCCCAGTAGTTCTGATAGCTTTGTTCCCCCCAGGTGGGTACTTTGGTGGGTCTGGGAAGCGATGGTCCGCCCCAGGGCTTCTGGTACTATAGGCCTACCATCTGGCAGAATTAGCCATCCAGCCTCTCCTTCCTGGGCCCTTAGCCTCTCAGCTAGCTCCTGCTCCTTCGGTAGATAAGTAGGCTTCTCTGGGAGCCTCCATGCTGGCAGGGCTATGAGAACCTCCAAGGGCCCTACTGGTCTTTTAGCCACTTCCTTGGTGGTTTGGTCTGCAAATCTATTTCCCTGTGCTTCGGGACTATTTCCTTTCTGGTGCCCCCGGCAATGAATTACCGCCACTTCCTTTGGCCCCCATATGGCTGCCAGGAGGTTAAGTATTTCAGAAGCATTTTTAATGTCCTTTCCTCCTGATGTCAAAAGACCTCTTTCCTGATATAGGGCCCCATGCACATGTACTGTGGCAAAAGCATACCGACTGTCCGTGAAAATGTTCACTCTTTTTCCTTTTCCCCACCGGAGAGCCTGAGTGAGTGCTATTATCTCTGCCTTTTGGGCTGAGGTGCCTCGTTCTAAGGCCTGTGCCCAGAGAATCTCCTTTTGTGTCACTACTGCCGCCCCTGCATACTGGATACCTCCTTCCACGAAGCTGCTCCCGTCCGTGTAGAGGGTCTCATCCGGATTCTGCAGGGGCTGGTCCACGAGGTCCTCTCAGAGGGAAGTGAGGGCAGTCAATGTCTCTTCACAGTCATGCAGAGGGGCCTCTGCCTCCTCGTCCGGGAGGAGTGTGGCTGGGTTCAAGGCAGCCGTTTTCAGGAAACTGACTCGTGGTGGGTCTAGCAGCAACACCTGGTACTGGGTAATGCGAGCATTAGACATCCATCTCTCCGGGGGGCTTCTTAATAAGGTCTCAACTGCATGCGGGGCAACTACTTGGAGATTTTGGCCAAAGGTTAGCTTTGAGGCTTCCTTTACTAGTAGGGCAGTGGCCGCAATGGCTCTCAAGCAGTTGGGCCATCCTGATGCCACTGGGTCAAGTCTTTTAGAGAGATAGGCTACGGGGCGCTTCCATGGTCCCAGGGGTTGCGTGAGGACCCCTTTCGCCACCCCTTTGTTCTCAGCTACATATAGCTGGAAGGGCTTGGTTAAGTCTGGCAGGGCAAGTGCTGGGGCACTTACCAGGGCTTCTTTTAGTTTCTTATAGGCCTCTTCTTCCTTTTCTGTCCAGACCAGGGCGGCCTCCTTTCCCCCCGTTGCAGAGTATAATGGCCGTGCAATTTCTGCAAAACCTAGTATCCATAGCCTGCAATAACCCACCGCCCCGAGGAACTCCCGAACTTGCCTCTTGGTGGTAGGTCTTGGGATTGACAAGATAGCCTTTATTCTGCTGCTGGATAAAGTTCGCCTACCCTCTTCTATGTTGTAACCCAAATATGTCACTCGGGTAGTGCACAGCTGAGCTTTCTTGGCTGAGACCCGATACCCCAAACAATCTAGGGCGGTCAGCAACTCTCGAGTGGCCTGCTTACAGTCCTGTTCCTCCTCTGTGGCCAATAGGAGGTCATCTACATATTGGAGCAGAGTCACCCGTGGATGGTCCTGACGGAACTCACGGAGATCTTGGTTTAGGGCCTCATCGAACAGAGTGGGTGATTTCTTAAATCCTTGCGGCAACCTAGTCCAAGTTAACTGTCCAGACTCTCCTTCTGTTGGGTCCACCCACTCAAAGGCAAAGATAGGTTGACTCTGCTTTGCCAGGGGTAGGGAGAAAAAGGCATCCTTTAGGTCTAAAACAGTATAGAACCGGTGTTCTGGCTTGAGGAGGCTGAGAAGAGTGTAAGGGTTCAGGACCGTGGGATGGATAGTCTCAACCCTCTTGTTTACTTCCCTTAAGTCCTGCACCGGCCTAAAATCCTCAGTCCCTGGTTTTTGTACTGGCAACAGGGGACTGTTCCAAGCAGATTGGCAAGGAATCAAGATTCCAGCCTCTCTCAGCCTCTTAATGTGCTTGGCGATTCCTGCTCTCGCCTTCTGGCTCATTGGATATTGCCGAACTCTGACTGGGGTGGCACTGCTGGTCAGCTGGACTACAATTGGAGGTCGGTGTTTAGCTAGCCCTGGCGGATTTTCCTCCGCCCAAACTCCCGGGATAGCCCGCCTTAATTGTTGGAGATAGGCATCTGCTGAGACTTCCCCAGGCTCCTCCTCGTGTAGTAAATATTCCTCCTGTAGGGGCAATGTCAGGAGATATATCCCCGCAGTCCCTGGGTCTTGCAATTTGACCTCTGGCCCTGGCCCTTCAAAGGAAATTGTGGCCCGTAATTTGCTCAGCAAGTCCCGGCCTAGCAAAGGGCAAGGGCACTCTGGCATTACTAGAAATGAGTGAGTCACTGAGCCATTTCCTAGGTCACTAATCCGACCTTTAGTCCATGGGTAGGATTTTACTTTTCCCGTTGCCCCTTTGATGGGGATTTTGGTCTTAGAGACAGGACCCACTGGCTGTTGCAGGACAGAGAAGGTGGCTCCCGTGTCCACAAGGAAGTCCACCTTTTGGCCCCCCACTGTCAGAGTTATCCTGGGCTCTTGGGGGCCAGCTGAGCCCTGACGACCCTAATCCATCTCCTCCACCAGCACGGGAGTTGACTTCCCCGTACGTTCAGGGCACTCCCTTTTCCAGTGTCCTTCCTTTTTACATAGTGCACACTGATTTTTCCCAAGCCGGGGTCGGACTTCTTTGTTTCCAGGAGGCTTTCTTTTGCCTTTATTGTCTCTCTGGCCCCTTGGGCCTTTTTCCTCATTTAGGGCCAGGAGAACCTTGGCCATCCGGGTGTTTAAATCTGCCGTCGGGTCCTCCCGATTATTGAAAACCTTCTGGGCTACCTCAACCAACTCAGAGATTGATTTTCCCTCAAAGCCTTCTAGCTTCTGTAATTTTTTCCTAATATCTGGGGCCGACTGGGAAACAAATGCAACAACGACAGCCCTCCGATTTTCCGGAGCATCAGGGTCAATGGGGGTATACACCCGATAGGCCTCGCACAGCCTCTCAAGGAAAGCTGCCGGGCTCTCATTAGGCCCCTGGACTGTCTCTGTCACCTTAGAAAGGTTTGTGGGTCTCCGAGCAGCAGCTCGGATGGCCCCCAATAGAGTCTGGCGATACTGATCGAGAGCCTCCTTTCCCCTCTCAGTATTGGGATTCCAAGTAGGTCGCCGGGAGGGAAATACAGCCTCTAATCTGTCTTGTTCAGAAGTGGGCTGCCCATCCGGACCCAGCACAAATCTCCTCCCCTCCACCTTGATTCTCTCTCTCTCCTCTGAAGTGAAAAGAGTTTGCATCAACTGTTGACAATCATCCCAGGTAGGTTGATGGGTAAAAAACACAGACTCTAAAAGAGAAATCAACCCCTGTGGATTCTGGGAGAAAGAAGGATTCTGGTTCTTCCAATTATATAGGTCACTGGTAGAAAAGGGGACATAAACCATAAAAGGCTGCCCATCTGGACCTAAATCCAAAGGGCCTGCTTGCCTTAATGGCAATATGGGAGCTGCAGGACTGGCAGATGCCGCATGGTCCCGCGGCTTCTCCCCCCATCCTTCTCTCTCTCCATACGCTGCCCCTTGCCTCGTGAGAGAAGGGGAAAGCGGAGCCGGGCCCTGGACTGGGGCTTCCGGAGGAACGGAAACCGGCTGTGGAGAAGGCCGGGGCTCCTGACCGGGGTCATTTGCCACCGTGGTACCGGTGGAGGGAGGAGCATACGGGGGAGGTCTGGCCTCGGGGAGTGCCTCCTCACCCGTATCCTGCAGAACAGGGGGAGTTTTGCCCTTCTTGGCTGAGGCCAAGAGAACTGTCTGTCTCTGTCCCAATTTCTTTTCCTTATTTTGACAAATTTGTAACCACCTTGGTTTTTCAGTCAAAATATCAACCCACACTTGAATATAGGGAATTTGGTCGGGGTGACCCGGCCGGCCGTAGACAACATGGTGAACCCGAAAAGCAGTGGTTAAATCATAAGTCCCTATGACCGGCCATCCCACCTGGAAAGTGGGCCACTCCCTTTCACAGAATTTCTGCAAATCAAAAGCATTAACATTATGACCATATCCTTCAGCTCGCTTCTTGAAGTCCTGAAAATTGTTCAAAAAACATTGCAGCGGGGTGCACACAGAAGCAGACGACGACCCTTGACCTATTTTGACAAACACCAAGACAACAAACACCAGACAGACAAACCCAGTGCAGCCTACAGCCGCACAAACCAGGGACCCCGGCCACCGTCGTGGCCGCGGGTCAGGACCAGGAGTACCGCTGCATCCAGCCCTCCGTATCGGTCCTTCCGTGGGACGTCCCAATTCCAGTTTAACGACCAGTCCCTTACCTCTCTCGAGAGTCTAGGTGGCTTGGTTTCCGAATTGAAAGTTTTGGGTGGACTGGAGGCCTCCTTGGTAGTCGTTCTCCACAGGTGTGGGGTATCTCGCTGAGTGCCCGGCGACAAGCGGGGGAGAGCCTCCTGCCCTGAATAGGGGGTCCCTCTCCTCCCTTCCGGGGGAGAGCCTCCTGCCTTGAATAGGGGGTCCCTCTCACCCCTGCCGGGGAAGAGCCTCCAGCCCTAAACAAGGGGTCCCTCTCCTCCCTGCCGGGTATCTCGCTGGGGCCTCCAAATGTTATGGGTTGGCTCAACGAGATAGACCACCGACTCAGAATTTAAATTTGAAAGCCGTTTATTAAGCTGGCCAGCTGACCACAGCCCGTACCTTCCCCCTCTGGGAAGCCTCGCGGCATGTGGCAGAGACCAAGGGTGCAGTATGATTCTTTATAGCAAAACAGTGTTCAAAGAATACAAAGCATTTCATTAGAAGTTCACAAAAAGTTCATGAGAACGGAGGGGAGGTAAACAGAGTCACACCTGGCTGGAGCGTATCATATTGTTTTTCTAAGACAATCTAGCAATTTTTCTTCCATGCTCTCTGACCCTGACATAATCCTTCTATAATCATTCTCCATACGTCAGTCCCTCCTCCCAGCACATACACAATCCTCATATCCTGGTCCTCATACATCCCCCTCCCTCCGAGTACATTCAATTTCTCATGTCTTATTTCCTCCCCTTAGCACATTTTGTAACCTTCTGTAACCCTTCCATGCCGCACACCCTAGCACAGAGTTAGTCCTCCATCTATACACATTGTAGGCAGTTTAGTGGGAAGGTCCAAGGCTTATTTCTTAAACCTTTTTTTTTTTTCAATGAGGATATCAAAATCAATACCCTAAAAGGCACATCAGGGGTAAACACTCAGCTTCCCTTCACAGCAGAGCCACCACTCTTAGTAAGGTTTAAAAGTCTAACTAAAAGCTCAATCCTAGTTACCTAGTCATTGAATGAACTCATTACCAAAACAAAACAAAACAAAACAAAACATAAAAATACTGAAACATTGCTCTTTCCGTCTATATGTTTCCACTTTTGACTTCTCATTAGAAAAAAACAATTAAAAGATACAATGGAATCTACTATAAAAAATGTCTTCATTTCTGGAGAGCAACTTGACACACATCATCCATAGCTGTTCATGAAGAAGTAGGAGTCATGAGACCCTGACTCATGTCTCAGATTAGTGTTTCTGCCATCACTGCTCACTGGTTAAACTGTTCCTTTGTTGTGTTTGTACATGTCCCTAATTTTGACTAGTGCTGGGAGCCGGTCCATCAATGCTGCTTGACACAGTCGCTGCAGGAATGAAACATCTGCACAGCATATGTTTCAAGGGACCTGGCATATATAGCATATTGTTCTTAATATGTTTGCTCTCCTTAGCGCCATGTGTTTTAACCAAGGTCACCTCTCCGAGAAAGGTTGTTTCCCCAGGTGGGGATTTTTACCTGAGGTTAGGGAGGGGATACAACCTCTTAACTAAGTGCCAGGCGGGTAGTTAATCACTTTAACTACAAACAATCACGCTTAAGCTACATAATCTTTACTCCCTAGAATGGAGATAAGAAACGCCCTAACCTTTGCAATAGAAATTGACAGGATTAAAATCGACTGGTATAAATACAGATGTAACAAAACAATAAACCTCAAATCCTGAGCAGATCCTAACCAGAACTTGGCTGGAGATCCTGGCTAGAGGTCCTGACTAGGCTGCTGATCAACTGAAGGCTGTCTCCTTGTCATTCCTTCTTCGCCGACTCCTTCCACACCTTTAGGGACCCCTGGACCTGCTGGGGTTGGACCCCAGCAGACTAGTATGTGAGCTTCTTGCCTGCGTGAAGGACTCCAGTCACCTCTCTATTGTTGATGAATTGGGGGCAGGAGTCTTGCTGAGGATTGCCAGCTAGGCTTCAATATTACCCATGCACTTTCATGTGTGTACAGCATGAATGCTGGAGAAAGGTCGTGATGTGACTTGCAAAAACAAAGGGATTTATAAGGGTCCCTGCAGTCATGGTAACTTTATGGCATCTCTGTATTTTTTCAGTCACTAAGAGATATTGTGTATGAGTGTGCAGGATAGGATCTGATTGTTCATTTGTTGATTCTTGGAATATGTAATGGACTCCTACTATGTACCTCCCATCACTAACCAGGGCCCTAGAGGCACAAGAGTGGATGAGAGAGACAAATTGGACATTATTGCTGATGTCCAACTATTTATTTACAACTAACATTTAAAAGGCACTTCAAGATGCCCTAAGATCCTTGATCCCCGCCAAACTTCTGACCTTAATGTGCTCCTCCAGAATTTTCCTGAATCTCTTTCACTGTCTCCCACATACCACATCCAATCTTTCAGCAAATCCTCTTGAATCCATGCTTTCAACAAATACAGAAACTGACCCCTTCCTCCCACACTAGTCTGACCACCCTCACCTGTCACCTGGATGACTGCACTTGCCTCCTCACCGGGCTCCCTGCCCTCCACCCAGCAGCCACACAGGTGCTGAGGAAAGTAGGCTAAAGTGAACATCCTGATTCCTTTTTGAGCAAGTTTTTCTGTCTGAATCTATGGCAGGAATGTGGGGTGTGGGGTGGGGAGGGGTCAATAGTTCTTTCTGAGTTTTTTTTTCTTAAAAGCTTGAAATCAATTCCCAAAATAGGAACTTCAGAAAGGCTAAATTTTGGAAAGGCTAAACACAGATCACTCACACCCTTTGCGGCTCTGAGCCCTCCAGAGGCTCCTCAGGTCAGTCAGAGGGAAGCCAGACTTCTGGCTATGGCCCCTCCCTTTCTAAATCCATCTCCTCTCATCTCCAGCTCTGTCTGCTTCAACTGGTTTGCCTCCATTTTTCTGCGCCAACATTTTAGTTGTTATTTTTTTTTATTTTTTTATTTTTTATTGCTTAAAGCATTACAAAGGGTATTACATATGCGTCCTTTTTTCCCCCCGCCCTTGACAATACCCCGGCTTCCCATACCCCCTTTATTTTTTTAATGCTTAAAATATTACAAAGAGTAGTACATTTGTCTCCTTTTCCCACCCTTGACCTTCCCCCGGCCTCCCCTATACCTCAGTGTCTTGTGTCCATTGCTCATGCTTGTATGCATGCATGCAAGTCCTTTGGTTGATCTCTTACCATCCCCCAATCCTTCCCAACCTCCTGCTGTATTTTGCCAGTCTGTTTAATGCTGCTGTGCCTCTGTATCTAGTTCTGTTCATCAGATTATAATGGTCTTTATTATCCATAAATGAGTGAGATCATGTGGTGTTTTTCTTTCACTGACTGGCTTATTTCACTGAGCATAATTCTCTCTAGTTCCATCCATGCTGATGCAAATGGTAAGAATTCCTTCTTTTTTATAGCAGCATAGTATTCCATTGTGTATATGTACCAAAGTTTTCTAATCCATTCATCTACTGATGGGCACTTAGGCTGTTTCCAGATCTTAGCTATGGTGAATTGTGCTGCTATGAACATAGGGATGCATATATCCTTTCTGTTTGGTGTTTCTGGTTTCTTGGGATATATTCCTAGCAGTGGGATCAATAGGTCAAATGGGAGTTCCATTTTTAACTTTTTGGGGAAACTCCATACTGTCTTCCATAGTGGCTGCACCAGTCTGCATTCCCACCAGCAGTGCACGAATGATCCTTTTTCTCCACATCCTCTCCAGCACTTGTCGTTTGTTGATTTGTTGATGATAGCCATTCTGACAGGTGTGAGATGGTACCTCATTGTTTTGATTTGCATCTCTCAAATGATTAGTGACTTGGAGCATGTTTTCATATGTCTCTTTGCTTTCTGAATGTCCTCTTTTGAAAGGTGTCTATTTAGGTCCTTTGCCCATTTTTGATTGGGTTGTTTATCTTTCTTTCGTTAAGTTGTATGAGTTCCCTATAAATGTTGGAGATTAAACCCTTATCCGTGATAACATTGGCAAATATGTTCACCCATGCAGTGGGCTTTCTTGTTGTTTTTTTGAAGGTTTCTTTTGCTGTGCAGAAGCTTTGTATTTTGATGTAGTTCCATTTGTTTGTTTTCTCTTTAGTTTCCACTGCCCTAGGAGATGTATTGGTGAAGAAATTGCTGCGGCATATGTCTGAGATTTTGTTGCCTTTGGATTCCTCTAGTATTTTTATGGTTTCCCGTCTACATTTAAGTCTTTTATTCATTTTGAGTTTATTTTTCTGTGTGATGTAAGTTGGTGGTCTAGTCTCATTTTTTGCATGTATCTGTCCAATTTTCCCAGCACCATTTATTGAAGAGACTCTCTTGACTGCATTGTATGTTCTTGCCTCCGTTGTCAAATATTAATTGAGCATATTGGTTCGGGTCGATTTCTGGGTATTCCATTGATCTATATGTCTGTTCTTGTGCCAGTACCAGGCAGTTTTGAGAACAGTGGCTTTGTAATACAGCTTGATATCTGGTATTGAGATCCCACCTACTTCCTTCTTTCTCAGGATTGCTGCAGCTATTCGGGGTCTTTTTATATTCCAAATGAATTTTTGGAGAGTTCGTTCTAGATCTGTGAAGTATGCCATTGGTATTTTGATGGTAAGTGTGTTGAATTTATAGATTGCTTTGGGTAGTATGGACATTTTAATGATGTTGATTCTACCAATCTAAGAACATGGTATGTTCTTCCATCTGTTTATGTCTTACTCTATCTCTTTTTTCAACGTCC